ACCCGTGGTCATATTTACGGAGATTGAAAACGAATCGAATGCAGAATATTGAGTAGATCTGCATTCAGGTAGAGGTAGCACACATCACCGTAGTCGATTATGGGGAAAATTAAGGTGCACAAGCATTTCCTTGGTTTTGCTAGGTAAAAAGTTTTTCAAGCGATATAGCGCACGCAACGCTCCAGTAACTTTTTGACAAATTGTAGTCGTTTGAGTCTGCCAGTTCAAGTTAAAATCAACGTGAAGTCCCAGGTCTTTAACACTATCGCTAAATGGTATTGAGGAGCCGTCATACAGGATAGAATGGAGATTAGTGCTGTCGATCCTACTCATCATTACGCGCCTGCTCATAAGTATAGCCTGACATTTCGCCGGGTTTACATTAACGCCAAAATTTTTAGACCATTCCAATATTGCGTCAAGATCCCTATTAAATACATCAATAGCATTGTTCAACACATCGACGTTTTCCTAATCATATAACTGTAAATCGTTAGCATACAGATGATACGAGCACTGAAGTTTGGCGTAATCAAGTTAATGAAAATTGAAAAAAGTAGACGAGAAAGAATGCTACCTTGGGGAACGCCAGCAGCGAGCCCACTCCAGGAAAGTCAAAGTCAAAATAATCTTTATTCAAATAGACTTCTTAAAAGTACTTTGAATCGTTCAAAATTTTTTTCCCTACCACTCGTTCAGGACGTCTTTTGGCTGATAAGAAGAACGAGCAAGAAACTCACCAACTCTAATAAGAGTAATGACATTTACAAAAACCAGGTCAATAGATTATAAATAGAGAGAGAAAAAAAACTATGGTCTTATAATGATAACATAATCATTTAATAATAATGGAAACAAGATAATGAGTTTAGAAGTAATCACCTATCCAGTTGGTGGATCATCTCAAGTCCAAGCCGTCTTATCTGTTATATAATCGGACACATAATAATAAGCTTTTTTAATAGTAGATTTAAACTGCATGATATCTAATTGTTGTATTTTACTTGGGACCTTATTGTAGAAGCGCACACAAAGACCCTTGAATGAGTTATTAACTTTTTGCAGTCTAGTGACAGGCACCGTTAATTTATTTTTATTTCTTGTATTAAAATTGTGTACATCACTTTTTTATAGAAAAACAAACTAATATTTTACGAACGTACATTAAGTTCTCGTATATGTATTGAGAAGCAAGAGTCATAATGTCTATTTCCTTTAATTTCACAAAAATTGTTTGTATGTCGGCAGCATTTCCCCACAATAGGATTCCGTACGACATTACACTATGAAAGTAGCTGAAGTATACTAATCTGGCAGTATATATGTCAGTTAACCTACGTATTTTCATTTCGGCATATGCTGCAGAGCTAAGTCTACTCGACAATTTATCAATATGTGGGCCCCACTGTAGTTTAGAATCTAATGTTATTCCCAAAAATACTGTGATCCACAAGGCCCATGTTCTTATCTTTTATATTAACATTTATATCTACTTTTTTAACATTAGGTAGTACAAATTTTAAGCATTTTGTTTTTCCTTCATTAAGGAGAAGATTATTTACATTAAACCATTGTACTACTTTAGCAATAGAATTGTGCACATCGTCATTTAGAGGTAACCCTCTTTTAATTTTAAACAAAAGTGAAGTGTCATCCGCAAACAAAACTATTTCGTGATCATCCCTTACGAAATAAGGCAAGCCATTTATATAAATCAAAAACAAGAAAGGACCAAGTATTGAGCCCTGCGGATGAGGAGGATTCACCCAACCGGATCGACTGCTGATGGTCCCGAAGATATGAGGAGAATCACTTTAACTCTTCGTCAGCAAGAAGGATGTCATGATTTACCGTGTTGAAGGCATTGGAAAAATCGATAAGTACAAGACATGTTATTTTTCCACTCTCTATTCCTACGCCCAGGACTTTGGACAAGAAGGGAAGGATAGAGATGGGTCGAAATTGATTGGCTTGTGTTGGATTGGGAACTTTCGGGAGAGGTTGGACATAGGCCTTATGCCACAATTTAGGGAAAGTGCAGGAGTCCAGAGAGAAGTTAACAATGTGACATATAGCAGGAAGATGATCTAGAATGGTGACAAACATACGGCGACTTATACCATCGCAGCCCGCTGCATTTGACTTAATCGAAAGTTCAACGCCTGCTGAATTCTTTTGCTTGACGTGTCTGCCCCCAACTATTGAGAAATTTTTGCCGCATTTCTTTTTTTTTTGGAAATCGGTGGTTAATAATTTGCTATTATCACATACAGCATCATCCACATATCCTTACATATGAAATAAGTATGGTATGGGAGGAACAAAAAGTCGAATATTTTTAATATAATATATTTATTTAATCATAGTATAAACCATTGTTATCTATGCACTTTTGCCATCTCAAAGGTAGTTTATTGATCCCCTTACTAAAAAAACCTTTCGGACGGGAAAAAAGAAAATCTTTGAACGCGATTTGCACTGCCCCATCGGAGTTGATCTTTTCCCTTGCAAGAAGTTATCCAAATTTTGAAAAAAGTAGTAATCTCTTGGAGCAAGGTCCAGGGAGTAAGTCCACCTTACTTGTTACTTGTCTTAGACATTCCAATTGAAGCTCTTCTAATTTGGTAGCCGTCTGTTGTGCAGTGTGTGGTCTAGCGTTGTCGTGAAGTAGCAGTGGCGTAGAGAGATTGACCAGCCTCGGTTGTTTAACAGCTAGTTTTTCCAGCATGGTTTGCAATTGCTGACAATAGACGTCTGCAATCATCTGGCTAGATTTGAGGAAACTGTAATGAATGTCACCGGCACTAGTCCACCAAACAAATAACTTTTTGAGGTCAATTTTCGCTTGGGGCAGGATTTGGCTGGCATGCCAGTGTCCAACCATTGCGATGAGCGCTTCCGATTATTGTAGAGAGTCCACTTTTCATCACAGGTAATGATTCGATTTAAAAACCCTTCATTATTGTGCCGGTTAAGTAATGTAACGCAGTAGTCGAAGCGCATTTGCCGGTTTTGCTCCACTCAATTCGTGAGGTACCCACCTTTCAAGCTTTTTAATCAATTTGCTTAAAGTGGATTAAAACAGTTTTATCACTAACACCGCAGCCTGCAGTCGGACGTGGTTTGTGATGGATCCACTTCCACAATAGCCTTCAATTCTTCATTATTAACTTGGGTTTCTTTTGGGGTTCTTTTTTTCTTAGAATACTTCCTCATTCGACCGATTTATTGGAGAACCGTATATGAAAAAACTTATTCTAAATTAAATATATTTTTAAATATATAGTGTGTCTCTTTACGGTTCCGCGTGCGGTTGGCGCGTTTGATCTGTGATTGTGAATATTAAGCGATTTTTGCAAAGGCCGGTTATTAGATGAGTGATCTTTTTTTACTTGGCCTAGCTCGGTGGAGTGAAGACTAAACGACTTTGATAAAGGATGATCAAATAGTGTGGGTGATCTATTTCTTTTATTTGACTGAGCGAATAGGGATGAGATAGTTGTTGCGGGGGGTGGCCGGGTTTTGCTCTCTTCTCTTCTCCTATGTGTACATTACTTATGCGACATTCACAAAGGCCAGTAATGGGATGGGAAATCAATCTTTTCTATTTGGCGGAGCGGGGCGTGGCGGAGTTACTCTTTTTTCTTCTCATGTATGCACCACGCACACTTGCTTAGTAACATGTAGAAAAATTTAACTACCCATCCGAATACCGGCTTTTGCAAACGTCGCTTAAACTCCACAATCGCAAATCAAACGTGTTAACTACTTCAGCATCAAGCCAATCCCCTCAGTATTCCTTAATTGGTCCATGAGTAGGTCCCAATGCGGAGTAAAGGCGCTAAAGCTATTCTTAATGGATGAAACCACCCAGCATTCCCAAATTGACCTACGTGTAGGCACAATACGGATTGAAAGTGCTAAATCACAGATATTCTTAATAGATGAAACTATTCCAACCAGCATTCCTAACTTGGCCCGCGTTAAAGTCCCAACTATGTTTGGTGGTGCTAAATTACAGATATTATTAATAAATGAAATAAATCCATCCAGCATTCCTAACTGGGCCCAGGTGATGGTTCTAATGTTTATTGGAGGTAGTAAAGCACATATTCTTAATTGATGATTACAATCCATCCAAAATTTATGTTTAATGTTATGGACCCATTACAAATATAATGTAGTTTTGTCATATTCTATTACAGCTTATTTGGATGTTATTTTTTTGTAAAAAAGATATTTAACATTACTCATTTTCAAGTGGATGTACTCTCAATGTCCCGCTGCTGGGCACCAACTGGACTGGACATACCTTCCCTATGGATGGAATTAAATAAGTAGAACTGACCACAACCCACCATAAGGGCCTAGTGTGAATTGTTTGGTGCTAATGGTGCAACAGCGTTTGGTGTTCTCCACCTACAATATGTTGCAAACTCTAACACACTGTGCCACCCTGAAAATATGAGTTCTCAGTTTTAGAAAAACAAACTTTGTCCCAAATTTAATTCTCTGAACTCCATCATCACTGGCACATCAGAAACCAATATAGGTATATTTTTGTAAACTTTGGTCTTGAACTTATGACTTTTGAGTGAGAAGAAAATACTTATCAGTCTAGTTTATTTAACAGTAAAATTAATTTTATTCACAATTTTTTTAAAGGAAAATGACTTCATATGTGCCTAATAAAAGTGAAAAATAATTTGGTAAACTTCTATTATAGACTGGAAATAGTTTAAAATCTTTTATTTTGCTTCTTTTTATAGAATCAGTTTAATTTCAATAGCCATTTTGATGAAACTTCTATTATTGCCTAAACTGTAAGATGAGTAATCAAACTTGTTATCCTGTACCATCTACTCATACATAGTCTTATAATAGAAATGAAAAGTATCTAAGAATAGCTTATCAAAACAAGCCATTGCCTTCCTACATTACTGTCCCAAACTAGTGGAGAAACAACAAAATGCCTATAATTTTAAATTATATGTGATTTTGTCTTATATATGAAACTAAGAAAAAGCAAATTGATATGGTCGTAATATTTATTTACTTTTATTATTTTGGTATGTATGCTCTTTCAATACGAACATCATCAACTGGACAATCATCTTTATCACACTCAACTAATCCTATTCTTTTAACAACAGGCATGCCACTTTGTACTCGTCCAAATATTGTATGTTTCCCATCAAGCCACTGTGTTGGTGCTAATGTGATAAAAAATTGAGATCCATTGGTATCTGGTCCAGCATTAGCCATAGACAGAATACCTGCACCTGTATGTTTTAGATCACTAGTGATTTCATCATCAAATTGTGATCCATATATTGATTGTCCTCCTTTTCCTGTACCTGTAGGATCACCACCTTGGATCATAAAATCTCTGATTACTCGGTGAAATTTTGTGTTGTTGTAGTAGCCTCTTCTAACAAGTTCCATGAAATTTCTACAAGTTATAGGAGTGTGTTTCCAATACATTTCTACAATCATAGCACCCATTCTGAAATAATAACAATTATTGATTATCTCATACTTCAGCAAGGAATCCATTTTAAAAAAATTGCTTCATCCTCATCCTCAATTTGTATAACATAAGCAAAATAGTTTGACTAACACGTTTTCTTTTAATTTTGTTAACATACAAATAAAACAACAGAATATTCGTGTTCACAATACATCTACGGATTTTTTAAAAGTGTGCATAACACAAGTGCGTTATTGAATTTTGTATTAAATTTATTTTATGAAAAAGGGGAAATTGCTCTTTGCTGTTGCGAACAGTAAATTTGTTCGAAGACAATGTTATTGATTAACGAACGACTAACGTAGGGAAACGAACTTTCGGTCTAACTCAGTGTTTTTATTTTTATCGCCATCATTCATTCATTTCTTTTTCATTTTACATAAAGAGATTAATTTATTCACTTGACATTGGTAGAATTGTGCGAAGTGCTCAGACAAGCCATTAATAAAAGAAGACTTACGTAGTTTCGATAACTGCAACAGGTGGTTGCCAAGATTTGTCTGGAACACCAGCATTAGAATACCCTAGCATAATAATTATAATTTTAAGTTATTTACTCGATATAATTACAAAAAGCGGTATTTGCAACTGTTTGCAACTTATAGTTCTTCTCACTTTCTTTTTTTTTCTAAATTATTGGCGTCGCCTATTGGGGGCGGGACAGTCTCATACAAGCCTCGATGTTACAAAGATAGTAGTGACATCTTTATTATTTCCCGAAATTTAATATGTCACAAAATGACACTAGATGGCGCTAGGTACAGCTTTTAAATAGGAAAGGTGGTAAACACTATAAAAAATATGGCGGGCGCCGTTTCAAGTTGTGATTTATCCTTGTGCTTGCGCATAGTTTCTTTATCTACATCTAGTGCAAAACCTCGAGTTAAGTGTGTTGAGTTGAGATTTATTCTCCTCCACCTTGCTACAGTGTATTTGTGCTGTGTGTTCTGAACTTTTTGCGACTGGACGCTTGTTTTTAGTTTGTAAAGTTTAAGTGTAGTTTTTGCGATTGGACGCTTGTTTTTAGTTTGTAAAGTTTTCGTGATTACTTTCTCGATTATGCCACGACTTTGCTCTTTTGGATGTGCACCTAGTGGTAAGTTTGTTAATGTTCTATTGCAATATACTTTTTACCTAGAAAATGAGTATTCGAAAACGCCCGGTCAGTGAATGGTCATGAATACTTTTTACTAGAAAATGAAGTATTCGAAAACGCTCGGTCTATGAATGGTCGTGAGTTCGAGTCCAATTGGAGCTAGTTGTGCGATTGGTCGTTTTTCTCTAGTTCTTCATTTTACAATATGATTCCTATTGATTCTACATATTCTTATAATTATAATTATGCAGTATACTGCATGTACAAAATAAACAATCCATACTTATTTATCCATCTCATTACTATTTAAAAAAATAATTGTAAATTATATGTAAAAATACATATAACAACAACTGTAAGCCACCAAATAGAAAATAAACTATACTAAATACAAAATGTTTAAAAAATCCACTTGGTCCCGTTGGTTGCAGAAGGTTGTGGGTTCGATTCCCATCTCAGGGTGCCAGGGACCAAGTGGATATTTTTTAAGCATTTTTTATTAAGAATAATTTTCAGTATGGCATTGTGAATGCAAAATTAATCAAAAGGAAATGAACTATTAAATAAAACCAACCTGTCTCATAACTAGCTCCGATTGGAAGTTGTGAGACAGTTCGTTTTTAGTTTTTAAGTAACTTCAATAATAAAAATGGCATTGTGAATGCATAAATGTTAAAAGTAACATCAAATAATTGCCATTTCAATTGTATGTGAAATTTAGCCATTTTAAAAGAAAAATCTAATGTAAGTATTATTTATTTATCTTGACCATAACAATTAAGTGCATGACAGCATCAGACAGCACAGCAAAACAAAAACATTTGACGACTAACTGAAAGTTGTTTAATAATAACTGCACGACTATACGTCCCTTGGGGAAAGGTGCACCACCCACATTCTTGTCATAACCCTGATTGTTTTGATTGGGCAGCAATATGTCTATTTAATGACATGTAATTTTTCTTTTTCAGACACTACTATGCACAGTTTCCCAGACCCAAAAAAATTTCCTGAGCGGTTTGCAGTTTGGGTTAAATTGGTTGGTGGAAAACTGGAAACAAATACAGACTATGAATATTTCAAAAATAAAAAAGTCTGTGATATTCATTTCACAGATAATGACAGAAATCGCTTTAGAAGATTAAATATATTAGCTGTTCCATCACTGCATTTACCTGGTATCTATGAGATTTTTTTTAACATACCTTTATGAAGATTCATCATTCCGTATATAGAATTTAGATGAAATCATCTAAAATCTGAGAACATTTTGATTGCTCATTCATCACTCAAACATATGCCCTTGCAGGGCTTTGAACCCAGTACCTTTTAGTGCTATGGCAGGATTACTACTACACTAACCAGCTATCAAAATATTTTTTACTTTGAGACCACTCTCATAAACATTTATAAAGATGAGTATACCTAGTAAGCTTGACCTGCTTTTGACTACAACAACTTTTTTTAATCCACAACAAGGGAGCACATAAAACAAGTCCTATCGCCAACCAAACCGAATACTAATTATACCCCCACTGGGATTCAAACCCAGGACTTCTGAGTCTGTGGTGTCATTGGTGATGTGAACTACTAGACCACAAAGGCAGTCAAACCCAATATCTATAACTTTTAAGATAATGTTGATTTGTTTTTAATTTGCAGGATCGAGACAAGATTCTATAGAAGTTTCTATTTCCCCAAATCAAGAGAACATAGACCCACAAACATCAAGGATTTCAGGTAAATTATTCAGCCTAGCCTATAATAAAATGTCCAACTTAAGAGTTACTTCCAGAACTGTAAATTTAACAAACTGATTATAATTATAACAATATTGTTTGCTCTCTTGTAACCTTTTCATTCATTGTGTTTCTCTTAATTACAGATTCAGTCCAGGTGGATATAGGACAAAAGCTTATACCGAATCCTACTAACCAAACTGTTTGCAATTATCCAACTTCAGAAATGTCTTGTGCAGGTATTTGAAGATCATTATTATCTATCTCTATGATTCATAGTATTGAAGAATCTGTTTGAGATACTTACATGTAAATAAATTATATTAGCAATTTCATACTTAAAAAAGTATGTGCTCAATCAGTTCATGTATTTTTTTAAAATCAAACATTAGTTAGATAACCACCAACTTATTATTGTTTATTTATACCTTATACCTATTATTGTTAATTTGTAACTAGCGATTCGACCTCACTTAGCTTCGCTTCGTGGTATTTTACACCATGTATTATACATATAAAACTTCCTCTCGAATCAATCTATCATCCGTTGCGTAACTTTAAAGATTAAAGCATACATAGGGACAGACAGCAGAAAGGAACTTTGTTTTATACTATACATAGTGAAATTTTGCAATCGTAAGTCTTACTTGAAATGTCATTAAGTTTTCAAAATATTTCAGATCCAACACAATATGCTTCGTCTGCAGCAGACATCCTAATGGAACATAATTATAGTTCCTGTAGAAGTTCTAAAAAAATATCTGTACCAGGTAATGTACATCAAATTCTATGGCCCTTATAAAACTAAAACAACCATAACTAAAAAAGTGCCTATGTAGCAATATGAGAAATATTTTAAAGAATAGATCTGCTCAAGTAGAATTTTTAATTACGGTTGTATTAGTTGGAGAAATGAGACGTTCAGTAGCACTAATATAGAAAAAGAAATAAGTAAGAAAATATGTTTATTTCTATCATCTCATAGAACAAAGACTGAAAGAGGACATTTATGAAATCCTACTTCTACTAATATTATAAAAGCGAAAGTTAGTGAGTATGGATATTTGTCACTCTTTCACGAAAAACTACTGAATGGATCTGGATGAAATTTGCAATAGAGATAGATTATAAGCTGGAATAACACATGGGGTACTTATATCCCGATGTTCCTATGGAAACCAAGTAGGTGAAACCACGGGCGCTCGCTAGTGTTGTAATAATGCTAGTAGATAATTCTTTGAAGACATAAAATCACTTATATAGACTCGTGTCATTATACCTATAAATGAGGCGGAATCTGTTTGTCTGTTAAATTTAATGCCTAATAGCCGAACCCGGCTGATGCCAGTCGACTTTGATTAGCAAATAAATACCTTTCTTACTCTATTCAATACCATGCATAAAAAGAAACAGAAAGAGATTTAGTTGACGATCAAAATTAATTGGCGTCTCTGAGTGCGGCAGTTAAACATCGAGAGTTTTAATTAAATGATACTTGCAGCACCTAAATCCAAAAGAAAGATTTTAATGTGGACTCTCAATAAATTGTCTCATCCTATCAAATAAATACTAGTATTTAGTATATAATACAACTAAAAATATTAATTATAACATTTTTTATTTTACAGTTGCTGCCCACAGAAAGCCCACATACGGTAGCGGATGTGTGAAGCCTGACCAAAAGCACGTCGTCAATCAATTACGGTCAGAGATATGCAGATTGCGTAAAAAAAACAAAACATTTAAAGGGCGCCTAGCTGCTGCTGAAAAATGTAGCGCAGACTTAAAATTTCAGCAAGTAGCTAAAAACATGACAAAGCCTGCTCGTCTTTTTATGCACATGCAGTTGCAGAGTAATAAAAAACCGAAAGGGAGACGGTTTCGCCTCAGCGAAAAAATCTTGTCGCTGTCTCTTTATAAGAAGAGTCCCAAAAGTTATGCTCTTCTATGCAAATATTTTACTTTGCCCTCTGCAAAATCAATGAAGCGTTTAGTCGGTCAAATTAAAATATCAGAGGGTATTAATGATATATTGTTTCTTAAGATAAAGAAATCAATGGCTGAAAAAGATTTATCTGACAGGCTATACAGCCTTATGTTTGATGAAATGTCGTTAACGCCTCATTTATCTTTTAACTTACAAAAAGACCAAATAGATGGCTTCGTTACAAATTCAAGCTCAAAGTTTGCTGACCATGTGTTAGTTTTTATGATTAAAAACGTGAAGTATAACTTGAAGCAACCTGTTGCATACTATTTCACTAATGCTTTGACAAAAATAGATTTAAAAAAATATATTCAAGACGTTATACGCCATCTGCAACATTCAGGTGTCATAGTTATTAATACCGTGTGCGACCAAAGCACTGTTAACACTGGTGCCATAACAGAGCTTGTGGAACAGACTAAAAAAGAGTTTATGCGCTTAGGCAAAAAGTGGTGTCATGACCAATTTTGTGTAAATGGTCAATCAATCATACCGTTATATGATACACCGCATTTAATTAAGGGAATCAGGAATAATTTGTTAAATAAACATATGAATTATGTCAGTAACAACACATTAAAAACTGTTAAATGGGAATTTTTCCAAAAAGTATATGCGGCTGACAAAAGTTATGGTGAGCTACGACTTCTCCATAAACTTACAGAGGAGCATATTGATCCGGATAAAATTAATAAAATGAGAGTAAAATTGGCAACGCAAGTTTTTAGCCACAGCGTTGCTGTTGCAACTGAACATTTAACAGCAAGGGGGGACTTACCAAATGAGTGCCGTCAATTGATAGAAATTACACTATTGCTAGAC